ACACACACACAGAGACACATACAACATATACACACAGACATACACATACATATGCACACATGTACACACAGACACACAGAGACACACCCACACACAGACATATACACATAAATACATTATACATTTCTATACACAAAAACATATATACTTGGACACACACATGCATAGACCCATACACCCAGACACATACACAAAACATACACATCATACTATAAATCAATAAACTTCAAAAAAAGAGAAAGAGATCGTGGCACAAACACAAGTAGAGGGGACAGGCATGGGAGGGCACGGGGACAGACTACCACCTGCCAGCCAGGGGAGGCCTCTGGAGGAGCCAGCCCTACCCACAGCTCCCAGTCTCTGGCACTGTGGCTGCCATGTGAACACTGGAGCTGCTACACACCAGGTAATCCAGGAGCAAGAAGAGGTGGGATGTTTCAGGAGTTCCTGGGCAGGTTAAGGAACAAGAGGGAGGGGGGAAGACTAGAACCCGTGGGGCCTGGTGCTTGCTGTCAAAGCAGTAAGCTACAAGCTGGAGCATGGCCCACAGTGATGTGTCCAGCATCCCAGCCTGGGGGGACCATTCACCATCCACTGCCCACACATCTGTATCAAAACTAGAGTCAGGGCCAGGTGTGCCAGCACGCTCCTGTATTCCAAGGCTGAGGCCAGAAGATCACAAGGTCAAGGCCAGCCTGGAGTACATGGTCAGCTCCAGCCCAACCTACACAACTTGGCAAGACCTTGTGTCAAATAACAACAACAACAACAATAAAAATAATGGCTGGAGAGATGGCTCAGTAGTTAAGACACTTGATGCTCTTGCAGAGGAACCAGGTTGGATCCTGCATAACTCCAGCTCCAGGTGGTCAGATGCCCTCTTCTGACCTCCGTGGGCACCAGGCATGCATGTGGCGTGCAAACACCCGAAGGCAAAAAAGCTTGGAGACATAAACAAATCTAATCTTGAAAATTATGATAAAAAGTTCAAAGGGTTGGCCTGGGTGGGACCAAGCTCCCTCTCAGCACCGCATGTGTGTGTCTGCCTTTTCTGCCGTTTTAATGTGTGTGTGCGATATGTGCTTTTCATGCGGTCAGAAAATAACTTGCTGGAGTCGCTGTGGGTGGAGGGGATCAACGGTAGGTAGGTCATCAGGCTTGGTGGCTAGCACGTTTACTCACTGACTAAAGCATCTCATTGGCCCAAAAACCTTTTGTGAAGGAGTTGTGCATGCTGTCCCAGTTGCCCAGAGCTTAGCGATGACTGAGCTGACCCTGACAGAGTCTTGAGGGCTTCTTAAGGGAATCCTACCCTTCCCTAGTCTCCAGGTGAGCACCTGGCCGCCATGGCACTCCATTACCTGGAAGTGTGATCCTAGGCTCCCATCCTACAGTTGGCACAGAGCCTGAGTTGAGGTCGCTGCCCAACATTGGCCAGCCAGAGACAGCAGCTGGGGCTAGAGGAGTGCTCTTGGGGTTAGTGGTGTGTTCTTGGTGCAAAGGGGTGTTCACCCTCTCTTTCATGACACTCTCCATAAGGGCTTCCCTTTGACTTGAGAATACCAATACACCTAGACTCAGGGTCAGGGGCAAAAGCCAGACAACAAGGTCTGGCTCTGAGGGGCTGGCATCCCATCCTGTGTCCCGGGAAGGATGCTGAGAGGCTGATCCAGTGGTGACGCTATAGATGAGGATTCCCTGATGTGTCACTCCAGGGAGACAAACAAGGCCTCTGGGATACTTACCCAGGACACGCATCCCCTTGGCAAACACACGTACAGTACCCCACCTGTGCTGCATTCTTGCCACTCTGCATGACCTGCCCTCTCCAGCTGCAGCCCTATCCTTTCCCTCCACCTTTCAGCAGCTGACAGTGGGGGCCTGGGCCTCAGATCCCCTAAGTTTCCGGAGTAAGGCCTGCACTCCTGGGCTCCACTCTCTCACCTGATTCTTTATGGCCTTGCCAAATTCAAAATCTTTGCTTTTTTTCTTTTCTTTTCTGTTTTTCTTTTCTTTTCTCTTCTTTTCTGTGTATGGGGCATGTGTGAACAGCCATGTTCCTGAAAGCTTACATGTATACCGCAAGGTGTGTGCTTGCATGTGGAGGCCAGAGGTTCACGTCACATGTCTTCCTCAATCACTCTGCCCCTGATATGTTGAGGCAGAGCCTCTCACAGTTTCATCTGGTCTAGGGAGCCACTTGCTCCAGGGATGCCGCCTCTGTCTCCTGTGTGCTGGAATTACGGGTGTCCACCACACCCACCCCGATTTTAGAGGGGTTCTAGCCACCTGAATCCTGGCCCTGACACTTGCTCAGGAATCCGTTTACACACTGAGCCATCCCTCTGACTCTCAACATCGTTTTTATTTTGGTTTCGTTTTTGTTTTTTCGAGATAGGGTTTCTCTGTGTAGTTCTGGCTGTCCTGGAACAAACAGCAACAACAACAACAAACAAAAATAAAATAATCAGGCAATGGTGGCACATGTCTTTAATCCCAGCACCCAGGGAGGCAGAGGCAGGTGGATCCCTGTGCGTTCCAGGCCAGCCTGGTCTAAAAAGTGAGTCCACGACAGCCAAGGCTACACAGAGAAACCCTGACATGAAAAAACAAACAAACAAACAAAAACAGACAAAAAAATATTTCATTCTCTTTTGCCAGAGTTACAGAAGAGAACAAAGGAGACCCCAGCCAGCTAGGGCAGGCAGCTCCCACAAGAATCAGCCGAGGGGTACAGGGAGCTTGGACAAAACTCCTGGATCCTAGGGTCAATGGTGAGATTCCGACTGTGAAATCAGCTCTCCTGGAGGGCCTCCATTGCTAGGGCTGTGGCATGCACTGGAATGTGACTGGGGCCGGAAGACTCTGCAGCCCCATTTTACAGCAGACAAAACGGAGTCCTGCACACATCAGCAGGCAGCCAGTCGGAGGGTGAGCCAAGGACGGAAACCCTGCCTTCTGACGGCGTGGGGACTTAACACGGTCACCATCGTATTAGTCCTCCAGCGACCCCACCAGCACCGGACGGCACGTGATGCCGTTTAGGGGTCTAGAAGCAGATTTGTTGAAAAGCGGGCAAAGCTCCTGGTCCAGAAATGAGGAGCCTACAGGGAAGGTTGTTGCGTCATGTGGCCCAGCTGCTCTGTGTTGGGGGAAGCCTGCCAAGAGGACATCAGGGCTAAGACACCGGCTGCTGGCTCCGCCTGCGCACACGCTGTTCCTGCACCCAGCCCCTGACCCCAGAGTGCCCGCTGCCAGGCCTGCCAGTGAACCTCTGCTCACCATGGTCTCCCCTTCCTGGAAAGCCTTGTGGGAATTAATCACTCCATAGACCTGTCAGCCCACTCACTGCTGAGTCCCAGCATCTGTCTGACACATCTCTGTTCAATAAATATTTATGGAATGACGAGGGAGGGGCATACCTCCTCTGTTCTGGATCACCACAGCCATATAAGGGCTGTGGTCCATGGTGGCCTCTCTGCTGGCTGCATCCTAGGCTTTCAGGGACACAGAACCTGGGTTTGACCCCTGCCATTGCCCCTCGCCAGCTGTGTGGCCTCAGAGCGTTCAACTTTTCTGCCTTCCCCAGGAGTGGGGGTGCGGTGCTTGAAGCCCCAGTTTTGAGCGCTCTTCATCACTCAAGGTAATGAGTTAATCCTAGTGGAAATGACGATGCAACGCGGTTGAAAGGCTGGAAGTGGGGTTTGGGACTTGGCTCAGTCCGTGGGGAGCCTCGCATGCACAGAGCTCTGCATTCCACCCCCACCGCTGGTGGTGTGATCAGGAGTTGGAGGCAGGAAGAGCATGAGTTCAAAGGCCATCCTCAGCTACGCAGTGAGTCTGAGGCTATCCTGGACTACCTGAGATCCAATCTCAAACAAACAAACAGAAGAGGGGTGCAGGGACCAAGGGCATGCAGCTAAGAGGACAGTTCCTCCTGCAGCTCTTAGTTCAAAAAATCTCACCTTTGCCTTAGCAATATACAACTTTAACCATCTGGCACTTAAGAGAAATGAAACCCCAGGACCCTTGGCTCGGTGGCCTTTCACCTGGGCGACTTGGCTTCGTTGGGGAGAAAGGTCCCAGGACATCAGGCTGAAGGGTCAATGTTAGCCCTCTCACTGGTAACCGTCCAGCCAACTGTGCACGGATAGGGCTCCTTTGAAGTTCCCTCTCCTCTGTGTCACAGGCCTGACTGTCTGGGAACCGGCACCCAGTCCTGGGTCTGGTGGCTCGGCACGGCTCCCGCCAGCTGCT